TTTTGTTCAAATTTAAGCACAATGTGTTGTACATATGCAGGTGCATTTCGGTCATGATCTGCTTTGAATGTATATGTCACTCAAATATGAACGGAACGGGGACGTGTCATTGACAATGACTTGTTGAATTTTATTTCTTTCCTTTGTATTTTTATTAGTCGAAAAGCAAGTGAAGCAGAAGCCTACCCAGTTGTCTGTGAAATATCCCCCTTGTTGTCGTATGCTGGTGAGGTAAGTTGAAAAATGTACTGTGATAAACATTGTTATTTTTTTTTTTTCGAGTGTCCTGAAGATTACCAAAGAATTCTATTTTACCTTTCTTTACCATATTATACAGTAAAGTACTGTAAAATACTTTATTTTCACTTGGATTTAATTTTCGTTATTTTCTATGATGGAATGATTCAGTGAAAATAAAATCCAGCGAGTACACTTTTTTTTCTATATTTTACCTTCAACTCGTCTAAAATCAGTGAAAATAAATTCCATACAAAACACACAAAATGTCTTTTCAGTGAAAATAAATTCCAGCGAAAATAAAGTAATTTACAATATAAGAGGTATTAAAACAATTCTTGTGGTTGCAATTATTCAATCTTTGAAACTTGCATATATTATAAACTAGTTTGGATTGGCAGATTTGTTCAGTCTTGCATGTATAGTTTCCAAGGTAACAATGAACATTTTCTACTTTTTGTGGTTAAAATAACTCATTCAATAATTGTTATTACTGATTAGTTTTTCTCTGTCTTTCTTAAAAGGGTTTACAAGAATTCTGTAATGGTCATACATATTCAACTGGTGTGGTACTGACAGAACAACTACTACGCGAAAGAGATGACAAGGGTCAAATCATTCATGACTAAAATTCATATTCAAATGGGGTTTCCTCACATATATACTGAGCCTCAAATATAAATGTTTTTGAATGTTTAAATCTTTTTTATATATTTTTTTTTCATGACTGTGTTTATTTCTGTTTAACTCTGAAATGTGCGTTCTTATGGTACTAATTAATGTCTGTGATGTGTTTAAATGTTGGGATTTGACAAATTCTAGATTCATTGATGTGATATAAAGAGATGTTTACTGGAAGGTAGATGTCTACCTATGATAGTATTCATTTCTGGAAATCAATGACTTTTCCATTATCTGCTCTTCCATAACTATTCTTTCAGATTATTTCTACAAATTATTTCATTAATTTCAAATCTTTATTACTTTAATTGGTGCTATGTGGTGATCTTAATATTTTTATCTTTCAATATTTCTTTAAAAATCATTTTATTTCAAATCTGTTATTTTATCTTGATATTTATGTTGTGATTCTATTATTAACTACTTAATGCGCTGCATATTAATTAACAGATCGTCATTGATTATAAACTGTTTTAATTTTAACGCACACGTTTTTTAAACTATGACAAATATTAACAAAGAATACAAGTTTAAATGGAAGCAACTATTACTTTACTTGAAACTGACTGACTTGTATGTATTAAATCTTAAGTGTGTGCAACAACCTTATTGAGCCCGGCCACTTCTCTGAGATATTAATGGACATCTCAGTGCAGGTTGGTAGATACAAGCCCTCCTACTCTTGGAGATTCTATTCATTTAAATTGGTTGCAATATTGAATAAAAGATCTTAATGCATGGTAATAACAACCTCAAACAGTTCTTATAATTATGTCAATGATTATTTTGAAAAATCGCTTTAAAAAAAAACTAAATGTTGTTGCGCAGATGAGAATGAATTAAATGCAGTATGTTCAAGTGTAATAATATAACAAGCACGACATAGTTTATGATATTCAAATCTAAAATGTGCTCCAATATTTGTAAAAATAATAATTTAATCTTTATACCAGGTATGCGTGTCCTAATATTATAATCTTTTTCTTGTTAAACCTATATTAATCCAATCAATTATAAAAATTCAGGTTCACCAATTTTAATTCCAGTGTAAGATCATATCTCTGTTAAAACTGATTTTTCTTTCTTCAAATTCAAATTCTGAATTATCAGTCAATATAATTTATTTGTTGTATTAACTATTTGAGAAATTGAGAAGCAAGCAATATAACCACACAACAGTTAAAAACTGAATTGTATGTTTATGTTGGATCGACAGCGGTCTGCATTTTTGTCAGCCATTTTGGATTTGCCACATTGAACATTGTCCTATTCTGCATAGTGAATTTAAACTGATTGGTTTTTAACAAATATTCTGTATCAATTCTTGTGCAACTTTTTATGATTATTTTGGGAAGTTTTTTTTTATTGTACAATACTTACACCGTCATACTTCTGAAAGTTGAATTTATATAATAAGATCTTATCAGGAATATCCTCTCCAATTTGGTGAATTGTATTCAGTTATATTTTCATTTGGGGTGTTTCTATTTACGTAAATAATTTTCTTACCACACAGCCAATTGGCATTTTTTTTTATTTTATTGTTCTTCATTTTGAATAACTTGAATGGGCTGATATTGTTACCAGCTGGTATCCAGCTCAGAAGCCTGCTTACAATAGACAAGTTCTTTGGTTGCTGCATCATTATACACTCACTAGTGTTAATTGCAACTTTATTTTATCCATTGTAGTGATCAACGAAATACATCCCCACACTAGTGCATAAATGGTAGCCCAGCAGCTTGCAATTTGTTCTTCTTGTTTGTCAGTGTCACAATTTATTTATCACTTTGAATAATATTCATGAGATTCATCAATATTCATGAGATTCATTGATTTAACTTTGTGGTGTTTAATAATGTACATTCCTAAGGATGTTAATACAAGTATTCATCTCATACTTGAATTGTGTACCCTATATGGCAGATAACACTGAAATCTTGGTAATCAGATACTCTTTGGTTTTCATGAATGTCATTTTGTAGCTCCAAAGAAACAGTTTTCACTTCTTATATGTATGGACCATAGTTGTGTGATGTAATTGAAGGATTATTCCACAACTCTAAAAAGATTTCTAATATTAATTTGCTAAATTTTCTCCTTTATGACCAAAATTGTCACTCGTCTTGAAATGTATATACCAAAATTGAATGCAAGACTTTGATGTACGTTTATAAAATTAATTCAAACACCATTATTAATTGGCAGTATTTTACATATAATGCAATTGTTTGTTTTCAAATGATGTTTGCATACAATTTTACTCAACATTGGTCCTTGATGCTTTCGTGTTATGTCAATGATTTTGTGAAAATTGTATTATAATAAACATATATTTAATCATCAATAAATAGATTTCCAATATACCAGCTCAAAGCAGTATTTTATTTAATATAAGGTTATTACGAGAATATCGCAAATTATACGCAGACTGTACAGTGATCATATCGTCTAATGTGTTATGGGACCATACTGAACACCATACTGAACACCATAATGACAAGGTGTCATTTATACATTGTATGGCACCCTACAAAGTAGCACATGCTATAATCTAATAGTACATTTATACCCCTGCTATAATCTAATAGTACATTTATACCCCTGCTATAATCTAATAGTACATTTATACCCCTGCTATAATCTAATAAGTACATTTATACCCCTGCTATAATCTAATAAGTACATTTATACACCCTGCTATAATCTAATAATACATTTATACCCCTGCTATAATCTAATAGTACATTTATACCCCTGCTATAATCTAATAATACATTTATACCCCGCTATAATCTAATAGTACATTTATACCCCTGCTATAATCTAATAAT